TTCAATGCAGTATACAGAATGTATCCCATCTTTCTCAGTCTCCCCCCAACCCCAATATCAGTCTGTTTTACAACAGTGGCACTATGCAGTATTTGTCCTTTTGCGACTGAGATCTTTCACTCAGTATAATGTCCTCCAGGGTCACCCATTTTGTGAAATATTTCATGAGTTCCTTGTTTTTCAATGCAATGTAATATTCCATTGTGTGAATATACCACAGCTTCTCTATCCATTTGTTTGATGGCACTTAGGTTGTTTCTAACTTTTTACTATTGTGAACAAAGCCGTGATACACATGGTTATGCATGTGAGATATCATCTCCTCCCAGTAAGAATAGCAAAGTTTAACAGAATAGCAAACAACAAATGCTGGTGAGGTTATGGAGAAATTGGAACCCTTATTCACTGTTGGTGGGACTGTAAAATGGTGCAGGCAGTATGGCACTTTCTAAAAAAGTTGCAAGTAAGGAGGCATCTCACTCCCTGATCTCAAATCCTACTACACAGCTGTGATGGTCAGGACACGTGGTACTGGTACAGTGAAAGACACATAGATGAATGCAATTGAATTAAAAACCCAGAAATCAGCTCATTTACTTACGGTCAACTGATTTTTGACAAGGAAATGAAATCAATTAAGTGAGGAAGTGAAAGCCTCTTTTACAAATGGTGTTGGCAAAATTGGAAAACTATTATTTTTTTAAAAAAGTTGTAAATAGAAATACCATTTGACCCAGAAATTCCACTACTGGGAATATACCCCAAAGAAACCGTAACTGCCACCCAGTCAGCATACAGATTTAATAAATATAGAGAAAGAATACAACCCAGATACATACCTTTCCTGATTTTAAACCATGTGACAACCCCTTGTTTCTTTCAAAGGTTTATGTACAGATTTCCCATGAGTACAATTATCTGCTCTGGGATACACATTCTTCTCAATGTTAGTTGTAACTTGTCATGATTCACACAAATTCTTCCTTTTAGTAAAAAAAGAAAAAGTGCAAGTAAACATCTTGTAATATCTGCTTGCAGTCAAGATTCATCTGATATCAGCAACAATAGCCATCATTTCCATGGCCTTTTCTCAGTGTGTCTTGAGTTTCTGGGCGTTTTCTGTCAATTTCCATTTCTAATCAGTTTTTTTTAATAAGCTTCAGGAAGATTATATTTGCACAGTATATTAATGATATTGTTCGATAATTTCCACATACTACTGGATCATCTTTTTTTTAATGGGAACAAACATGGACTCTTTCAGTCAGTTGGCCAGATAACTATTTTCCAAATTTGCTATCATGCTTGCTGAAACTGAGGCAGACCTGAAGCACTTGCTGCAGAAGGTCAAGGATTGTAGATTCCATTATGAAATGAAGCTCAATATCAAGAAGACAAAGATTCTTAATACTGGGCAGCCAATTGGCAGAACCAGGATGAATGGAGAAGAGATTGAAGTTGTTAGCACAGCTTGCTCAACACATACAGCTTGCTCAGGTCCATAACCAAGAATTTTGGCAGCAGCAGTCAGGAAATTAAAAGATGAATTACAGTAGGTAAATCTGCTGTCAGGGAGAGTACAGGGAAGTAATGATGTCAGTCTAGAGACTAAAGTGCACCAACCCTCCATTCTTCCCATCATGTACTTCTCCAAGGAATAGCACCTCCTAGCAACATGTCCACAGCATGTGAAGCAAAGTCTCATCATTCTTGCTTCCAAAGAGCACTCCAGTTGCACCATCTCCAAGACATACGTATTCGTTTTTTTGGCCACCCATGGGATGTTGAGTGCTCTTCTCCAACACCACAGCTCAAAGACATCAACTCTTTTTCTGTCATCCTTATTCATTATCCAGGTATCAAATGCATGTCCAGTAAGTAGAAAGGCTATGGCCTGAATCAGATGCACCTTGGTCCTCAAACTGACATCACTACTGCTCAAAAATCTGGAGAGGTCCCTAATTGAAGATTTTCCCAATGTAATGTGTCTCCTTATTTTCTGATTGCTCATTCCAACGGTGTTAATTGTGGATCCAAGGAAGATGAAACTGTTGACAATTTCAGTCTCCTCTCCATGCATCAGACGTTGCCTATTGGTCCAGTGGTAAGAATCTTTGTTTTCCTGAAATTGAGAGGCAATACATACTGAAGGCTTCATTTCTTGATCTTCTGCAACAAGTGCTTCAAACCCTCCTCACTTTCAGCAAGCAAGATTGTGTCATCTGCATAATGTAGGTTGTTGATGAGTCTCCCTCTAATCCTAATGCCACACTCCTCCTCACAGAGTTCAGCTTCTTGGGTAATTTTCTCAGTAAACAGATTAAATAGGTGTGGAGAGATAATACAACCCTGACACACTCCCTTCCCGATTCCAAATCATGCATTGTGCCCCCTGTTCCATTTGCACAAAAGTCTCCTTATCCAGGTATTGATTCTGCGTGAAGACAATCAAGAGCTCTGGGATTCCCAGTCTCCTCAATATCAGCCGCAGCTTGTCATGATCCACACAGTCAAATGCCTATGCATTGTCAATTAAAGCACAAATAGACATTTTTCTGGTATTCCTTATTTGCAGCCAGGTTCCATCTGACATCAGCAGTAATAGCCCTGGTACCATGGTCTCTTCTAAATCCTGCTTGAACTGGCAGTTCACTGTCTATGTACTGTTACAGCCATTTTTGAATGATCTTCAGCATTATTTTACTTGTATGTAATATCAATGATATTGTTCGATAATTTCCATTTTCAGTTGGATCACCCTTCTTGGGAATAGGAATAAATATGGACCTCTTCCAATACATTGTCCTCCAAATTTCCAGGCATCAACTGGTGAATGCATCCAAAGCTGCATCTGTTAATTGAAACAAGCCAGTCAATATCCCATCAATTCCAGGGGCCTTATTTTTTGCCAATGCTTTCAATGCAGCTTCTACTTTCTCCTTCTTTACCATTGGCTCCGGTTCATGTGGTACTTCTTAAAATTTTTCAGCGTCAATCAATTCTCTCTGGTACAGTGACTCTGTATATTCCCTCCATCTTCTTTTGATACTTTCTGGGTCATTTAATATATTGTCCATAGACTCTTTCAATATTGTGACATGAGGCTTAAATTTGTTCTTCAGTTCTTTTGGCTTGAGAAATACGCAGCAAGTTCTTCTCTTTTTATTTTCCAGTTCTAGCTCTCTGCACATTCCAGTATAATACTTTGCTTTGTCCTCTCAAGCTGATCTTTGAAATTGTCTGTTTAGCTCTTTCACTTTGATACGTTTTCCTTTAGATTTGGCTTCTCCATATTCCAGTATGATCTTGAGAGTATCCTCTGACATCCATTTAAGGTTTTTTAATTTCTCCTGTGTTTCTGTTTTCATCCCATAACTCATCTGGTCTTCTATCATTAATGTTCAAATCCAAGTGAAATACAGTCAAGGTCATATTTTGGGTTTATAGATTTGTTTTCATTTTCTTCAGTTTTGGTTTGACTTTCACATGAGTTATTGATTGTCTGTTAATGACCATCAAAAAAACTACTTTCATCAAAAAAACTACTAAACTAACAGTCATGGAACTCACTACTGTCAACAGGTAACAGTCAATATAACAGCCTCTTCAAAAATCTATTTTTAAAGATTTGAGTGGTCTCTAGATTTTAGGAAGATTGAATACATGTAATTTTTCCCCACTGTTAATTATCCCATCTACTGCCATAAGAACAAACAGATATATGTTAAGAAAGGGCAGCCAGTGTGCTCCTGAGATGAAAGGATTATCCGATATACTTTGGACATGTTGTTAAGATGGGATGTTCCTTGGAAATGGACATCATGCTTGGAAAGGTTGAGGGCCAGCAAAGGAGAGGAAGGCCCTCAATGAGATAGATTGATTGGCGTGGTGACTGCAGCAATGGGCTCATGTCAGAGATTAAGAGGATAGCATAGGATAGGGAAGGGTTTAGATGGTTTAGATATGTTGTTTAAAGGGTGGCTATGAGTCATACTCAACTTGACAGCTCCTAACAACAAGTATAACCAAAAATCCTAAACTTTACATGCAAACAAATATAAGAAAATTCTAGAAGGTAGAATAAAGGCAGAGATCTGATAGAGGTTCAAAAACCCAAGGAACTCAAGGGATTTGTGTATGTTTCATTATCCTAGACTTGTTGGAGAATTGGTGATTCAATGATAGAATTCTGACTTTCCATAATGGACACCTGAATTTGATTTCTGGTCAATATACCTCCTGCCACCTGGATATCAGTGGAAGCTTGCTTACTGCTAGCCTGATAACTAAGCATGTTTCCACAGACATTCAGACCAAGGTGGATTAAGAAGAAAGTTCTAGAAATCTACTTCCAAAAATCAACCGTGAATGTCTTTTGTCTCACAACAGTCTGACGCACCCCCAATCAAGGCGATGATACAGGACCAGGCAGCATATTTCTCTGCTGTGTAAGGGAGTTCCATGACTCAACAACCATCTGGCAGCTAACATAAGTCATTCCAGATTTGGAGCTAAGTCAGTAACTCTGAAACATCAGCATATAAACCTAAACAAACTCTTACTCTCACTAGCCAGAGACTCAGGAAAGAGGAAGTCTAGCAAACCAGAAAACATTCCTTTTAGTGGAGGGCAGAACAGCCAAAAAAAATTTCATAGAAGAGTTCAACTGTACAATAAGTCAACTTGAACTCATAGTCAGACCAAATACTCCAACCAACAATTAGGTGGTACATATTTTTCCCCCAGTATGAAACAATATTCTGGACCACAAAATTAGCTTAAATAAAATTGAAAACATCAAAATAATACAAGCCATCCTCTTCTATCACAATGTTACAAAATTAGACATCAATAAAAAGAAGATACTTTTAAACAACTGGATTAAACACGAGGACAAGAGAACGAAAAGCAGGCCGGCGTGTCCTTGGACTTAGAGAGCAGGACGTCTGGCATCTGAGCATTTATTTTGGGGCTGTGCAGGACTACAGAGTGACTTCAAAATGGGTGATGTTGAAAAGGGCAAGAAAATTTTTGTGCAGAAGTGTGCCCAGTGCCACACCATGGAGAAGGGGGACAAGCACAAGACTGGGCCAAACCTGCATGGTTTATTTAGGCAGAAAACTGGTCAAGTCCCTGGATTCTCTTGCACTGATGTCAGAAAACAAAGCTATCACCTGGGGAAAAAAGACACACTAATAGAGTATCAACTGGAGAATCCCAAGAAATACTTCCTTGGAACAAAGATGATCTTTGCTGGCATTAAGAAGACAGAAAGGGCAGAGTTGATAGCTTATCTTAAGAAAGTGACCAATGAGTAACATAGTTGGCCTCTGCCTTATTTACTACAAAATAGAAATGTCCTGTGACTTTTTTTACATGTAGCATATTTAAATTGATCTCATACCAGAATTTAGATCATGAATGGCTGATCACATATTTTTCTTAAGACAATCCTGCATTCAGTAAGATTGGCTTTGTTTAAATTTTTATGGTCACACTTTTACAATTTTGATAGTAAGTTAGCAGGTGTTGTTCACGACTTTTCCCTTCCAAAGAGATGACTGGACTCTCGATTAGTGGGATTAGTCATACTCAATTTTTAACAGAGGTGGTGGATGCCACATCACAATCTATAGGAGATGGTTTTTATATTTAGATTTCTATAACTGATTATACAAATCTTACTTAACTACAAGGATGTCTTTACTATAACATGGAACAGAACACACCTTACCAGCTTCAATTTCTATTTATCAGCCCCTTTAAATGCAAGGGCTAGAGATAAAGTAGCAAGACTTTATCTATCTACTCTTGACTATGTTAATGGAATCCAAATTCCCTGTATCTAAAACGTTGCCTTTTAAATAACAAAAAGCATTTCAGTGTGGTTTATGTATGATAGCACATAAAGAATATTTAATACTTCTCACATTGTATAAAAGATCTACCATGTCACATGCTTTTAAAAGTCAAGATGATGGATGTAGTAACTTTGATTTTAACTTCTTTATCATTAGAGACTAGTCTTCAGGATTGTCTTTAGAGAGCTATTAAATAATGTTCATCTACTATATTTATGTGACTGGCAGTGGTGCTTATACTACCTCATTAAAAGGATTATGGTAGAGGAGATGTATTATTGGTACAGATTTGTAAACTATATGATCATAAGGCTTTATGAGAATTAAAAAATTATATAGAGTATGATTGTTTTTTATTGTGCTTGATTTAATGACTGATGTAAAAATGGTTTAAAAAAGAAAAGGAAGTGCTCTAAAGTTCTTTAAGCAACACCACTTCATCTTTTGGTCAGAATAACAATGTAGAAGATGCAGAATAAGTAAAGAATATGCTTTTATGCTTTTAGTAAAAAAAAAAAAGAGAGAGAGAGAACGAAAATACAACACACCAAAACCTTTAAGACACCCCACAAGCAATACTTAGAGGAAATTTGTATCAACAAATGCACATGTAAAAAAGAGAATCATCAAAATCAGTACCTTAATCCAACAACTCCAACAGCTAGGGGGCAGGGATATCAAAAAAAGTCTATGCTTCCAGGAGATATGACACTAAAAGATATTAGTCCAAAATCAAACAGAAAAAAATAATAGTAATACTCAACAAGGCTAGAATTTTTTTTCTTTGAAAAAAATTAGTAAAATTGACTAACCACTGGTTAACAAAAGAGAACAGGAGTAAGATTCAAATAACATAAATAAGAAACAAATTTGGTCACAATATAAGCACCTGTTTAAAGGAATACTGCTGATGCAGGCCATGACCTTTGCAATTATTTGCTATGCATTAGAGAACTGTACAAAGACTAAGGATGACAGAAGAAGAGTTGATGCTTTTGAGTTGTGGTGCTGGAGAAGAGTATTAAATATACTACAGACTGCTAAGAGAACAAACAGGTCTGTCCTAGAGAGAGTGAAACCAGTCTGCTCCTTGGAGGCAAGGATTCTGAAGCTTCATCTGACATACTTTGGGCATTTTGCTAGGAGTGTCCAATCCTTGGAAAGGAACATCATGCTTGGAGTGGTGAAAGGTCAGTGAAGGAGAGGAAGACCCTGGGTGACATGGATTGACTCAGTGACTGGGGAAATGGGGGTAAGTGTGTCAGAGACAACTAAATTGGCTCAAGATAGAACAGGGTTCAGAGCTGTTGTACATAGAAGTTGTTGTGAGTCACAGGCAACTTGATGGCACATTAAAACAGCCAGAATAAACTGTACACTAGTAAATATGAAAATCTCAAAGACTAAATGCCAAGTGTCTAAACACACATATCCTAACTAAAATAAGGTGAGTGGCTGAAATTCACCAGTTGCTCTACAGGAAAAAGAGGAGTATTCTCCTCTAGTGACATTTACAGCCTCTGAAAACCCACTGGATGGTCAGCTATGAGTCAGCCTCAACTTTATAGCACATAACAATAATACAACAAACAAGAAAGATATTGAATAGGTAATAAAACAACTTCAAATCAAAAATAGTCCTAGACTGGAAGGCTTCATTAAAGAATTCTACTAAACTTTCAGAGAAGACACAATATCAATTCTATTCAAACTATTTTAGAACATACAAATGGATTGAATAGTCCACCTATTTTATGAAGAAACTATAACTCTGATACCAAATTCAGATGAAGACATAAGTTTAAAAGGGAATTATAGACCAATATCCCTTGTGGAAATAGATGGGAAAATTCTCAACAAAATCTGAGCAAATGAAATCTAATAGCATATGAAAAATTACAGCTATGTGGGATTTATACCATATGTGCAAATTTAGTTCAACATTATAAAAAGAACCTGTGTCATTCACATCAGAAATAAAACAATGGAAAAGAACCACATGATCATACTAATCAGTGCAGAAAAGGCATTTGATTAAGATTCAACATCTATTTCTGATAAAAACTCTCAACAAAATATAGGAATAGAAGGGAAATTCCACATCATAATTAAGGATATGTACACACAACTAATGACAATTATCATTCTCAAGTGAGATTGACAGAAAGCATTCCACTTGTTGAAAATAACTCAAAAAAGACACCCTCTATAACCACTCATATTCAATACTGTTTGGGGGGGGGTCCTAGCCAGGGCAATAGGACCTATTGGGGAAGAAAGAATAAAACCAAATCATCCAAATTTATAAAGAAGAAGTAAAACTCTCCTTGTTTTCTGATGATATGATATAACACAGAGAAAATATCAGAAACTGCAAGAAAACAACTGCAATTGATAAAAAAGATCTAGCAAAGTGACTGGGAACAAGATAAGCATGCAAAAATCACTCAAATTCCCTAATGACAACAAAGAAAGCATGGAAAAGAGAATCAGGAAGATAATGCCATTTACAAATGCCAATAAAAATCAAATACTTAGGAACATATCTAATCAGAGATTTGTTATTGTTGTTATGTGCCATCAAGTCGTTTGCGACTCATAGGGACCCTATGTACAAGAGCCCTAAACGCCGTTCTATCCTGTGCCAACCTCACTGTCTCAAACACATTCATTCCACAAAAGATTTCTTTCTATAATGAAAAATGCAAAACATACTGCAAGAAAGCAGGAGAAGGATGGGCAGTCTCCTCCTGTGTGATTAATTGCTTCTGAAAACCTGCTAGGGGGTCAACTATGGGTCAGTTCCAACTTAATGGTACATAACAACAACACTGCAAGAAATTAGAAGAAATCAGCATAAATACAATAAAATACCATGCTTATTATGGATAGGAAGACAATAGCCAATATCATGAAAATGTCAATATTATCATGCAACCCCACTCCAGATTCCACCAACATTTTTTAAGAGATGGAATAATCAACTCCTAAACTTACATGGGAATAAATATAGATCTTTTCCAGTCAGTTGGCCAGGTAGCTGTCTTCCAGACTTCTTGGCACAACCTGGTGAGCACATCCAGGGCAATATCTGTTTGTTGAAATATATCAACTGGTATGCCATCTATTCCTTGGGCCTTGTTTTTGCCAATTCTTTCAGAACTGCTTTAACTTCATCATCATTGCTTCTTGATCATATGTTGTTTCATGAAGTTCTTTTGTGTCAGCCAAATTTTTTATATATACTGTGTACTCCTTCCATCTTCTTTGGACCATTCAACATTCTGCTGACAGTATTCATTAAGTATTGCAACTCAAGGCTTGAACTTGTACTTCAGTTCCTTCAGCTTAAGAAATACTGAGCGAATTCATTCCTTTCTATTTTCCAATGCCAGCACTTTGCACATTTCATTATAATATTTTGTCTTCTGATGCTGCCCTTTGAAATCTTCTGTTCAGCTCCTTAACATCTTAATTTCTTCCCTCTGCTTTAATTTCTCTGCACTCTAGTGTAATATTCAGAGTCTCTTTTGAAATCTGTCTTGATCTTTTCATCTTCCTCCATCTTTGTAATGACTTTTTTTGTATTGTTCATGGATATTTTCTTAATATACTCCCACAGCTCCTCTGGTCTTTGCTAATTTGTATTCAAGGCCTCAAACCTGTTCCAAGATGGACTTTAAATTCAAGAGGGACAGACTCAAAGTCAAACTTTAGTTCTTGTGGAATTGATTTTATTTTCTTTAGCTTCAATTTGAACTTGCATACAAGTATTTGATGATCAGTTCCACAATCAGCACTTGGCCTAGTTTTCACAGCTGATATTGCGCTTCTCCAATTATTTTTCCCACAGATGTAATTTAACTGATTCCTGTTTAGACCATCAGGTAACTGGAAATAATACATGTTTATTTCCATTCCAATAAATGGTGATCCAACAAAGCTTGGAAATAATTGAACAATATAATTAATATCACATGAAAGCAAATTCCTTCTGAAGATTATACAAAAATGACTGGAATGTCAACAGAGAACTACAGATGTGCATGCTGGGTTTAGAAGAGGCCATAGCAGTAGGGACATTATAGCAAAGGTTAGAAGGATCTTAGCTGAAAACAAAGAGTACCAGAGAAATATCTGTGTTTCATTGACTATGCAAAGGCATTTGACTGTGTGGATCACAAAAAGTTGTGGCTAACCTTGAAAGGAATGGGAATCACAGAAAACTTGATCGTCCTCAGGTGAAATCTATACTTCGACCAGGAGGCAGTCATCGGAACAGAAGGGAACACTGCATGGTTCAAAATCAGGAAAGGTTTATGCCATGGATGCTTCCTATCTCCACACCTTTTCAATTTATATGTGGAATAGACCATCTGGGAGGCTGGACTTTAGGTGGAGGAATGTGGCATCAGGATTGGAGAAAGACGTCTTAGTAACCTGCACTAATCAACTAA